CCGTCGTCCATGGACACTTGCAACACCAGGAGTATCACAAATGCGATGCCGGCCTTTAAGGAAGGAGTACGCTCCTTTTTTGAAGGTTTTTGGGTTGTATCGGTCCGGAAACACTGCTGGCGACAACATATTCCACAGTTTTGTCGTACGTGGTAAAAAATTTCGACAAAAACGCACGGTTGTGGATAGCCACGCATCAAGATGATGGGGATGAAATTTTTGTTGCGATGTACGATGGCGAAATGCAGCAGCTGGAATTAATCCGAATAATTCCTCAGAACACTCCCCGTGATAAATGCGATAGAAGATGCAGAGCGAAGCTACATCCCTACGCAAAGCCAAAGGATTAAGCTGATCGGAAAGGTCCTGGTCGTCGACGATTCGAGCCGCTCGGCGCTGGATGCGATCCAAAGGGAGAAGCTGGTACTGGGGTGCCCCCGCCCAAAGATGAGAGCAGTACTCCATGTGAGGCCGAACCTGTGCCTTATAAAGCTGTAGTCGGTGGGCCGGTGTGAAGTACATTCTCGATCTATTGAGCACACCAAGCTTCTTAGAGGCCAATTTGGCCTTGCCCTCTAAATGATCCCGAAACTGGACGTCGCTCGATATGTCAAGGCCAAGAATTCCAATACTAGCTGAGGCAGTTAGAGCAGTGTTCTCAAAACGAGGAGATATGACAAATAGTATTTTTTTTGCGGTGAACGCGCATACTTGAGTCTTCGTAGGGTTAAATTGGACTAGATTAAGTCGGCCCCAATTCGTTACTCCGTTTAACAAAGTTTCGACTTCAGACACAAGTTTGTTCCGGCACTCGATGACGTTTTCCCGTGAAATGTTGGCGCGGCCGATATATAGGGCATCACCCGTGCTGTCGTCCTCTGCATAACAATGAATGCCATCAATTTGAAGCATATCATTGATATGAAGAAGAAACAGAGTAGGCGATAGCATACAGCCTTGTGGAACACCAGCGTTTACGGATTTGGAGTCCGAGCATGCACCGTCGACTGCGACCTTGATGCTCCTGTCCGCAAGAAAGCTAGTGATCCAACCGCACAGCATTTCAGGAAGCCCATAAGAAGGAAGCTTCGAAAGAAGCGCTTTGTGCCAAACCCGATCGAAGGCCTTCGCGATATCCAGACCGACCGCCAATGCTTCCCCCTTGATCTCGATCGCCTTTGCCCAACGATGAGTCAGGTATACTAGTAGATCACCAGCCGAGCGACTCTGACGGAAACCGTACTGGTGGTCACTGATCAGCTGGTGGTCCTCTAGGTACCGCAAGAGCAGGCAATTAATAATAGACTCCATTATCTTGGAGAACAAGGAGGTGATGGCTATAGGCCTATAATTAGTAGGGAGTGATCGGTCTCCTTTTTTAGGAATCGGGTGCACTAAAGCTGTCTTCCATGAGTTCGGAACGACACCTAAAGAGTAGGAGAGCCGGAAAAGACGCGTTAGTACCGGAGCCAACTCAGGAGCACACGTCTTCAGCACAATTGGTGAGATTCCATCAGGCCCGCTCGACTTGTGGATGACAAGGGAAAAAAGTGCTTTACGCACTAAGCTTTGTGTGAATCGGATCTCCGGCGTAGAGCTCTCACACCGCGGGATGGTCGGCGGTATGTATCCCCGTCATTTAAAGTCGAGTTAGACGCAAAGAGTGAGCATAAAAGATGCGCTTTCTCTTTTGCAGTATGGGCCATCGATTCGTCGCCATTGTGCAGGGGTGGAAGGGATGGCTTACAAAAATTTCCTTCAACAGCCTTGGCAAGAGACCAAAACGCGCGTGTTCCAGAGGGAAGTTTTATTAATCTCTCGCCAATGCTGCTAATGTGCTCTGACTTCGTTCTGGTCTGCTCTTTTGCAGGACCTGGAGGCCAAGTTATACTTCTTTTTGAGATCGCTAGTGTTGTTATCACCGACCGCCGCTGCGTTTGCCCAGGCCTGATCATCACATCTGTTTTTGGCGAGATGCCAGTTTACAGTAGTGACCAAAACAAGGCTGGGATTTGCCACCAATTGGAACCACAGAGGAAGGAACAAAAAGTTCCATACCTTGAAGAATAACATCGCCGACAGAATCGGCAGCGACATTGGGATCATTCTGCGAGAAGCAAACCTGGCCCCATGGGTAGGATGAAAAGACAGTGCGCATCCCCTCCCAGTCTGCTGACTTATAGTGCCACACACGACGACAGCCAGCAAATTGCGGCCGCGGTGAGTAAGTGAGTGGCACCATACTCCGGATTAGACAATGGTCCGAGGAGCCAAGAGGGGCATCTACGGACACTTTGTAATTATCCGGATGTGAAGTCAGTAGAAGGTCCAACAGTGAAGGTGTATGGTCTTCGACATCTGGGATTCGCGTAGGCGAGGTGACCAGTTGTGTCAGACCATAGGCCAAGGCGAAGTCGTGAGCAGATCTGCCTGCATGATCGGTAGTGGGCGATCCAAGTCATTCGGAGTGGTTGGCATTGAAATCGCCAAGGATCACAATTTCTGATGATGGGATCTGCTGAAGCACGGAGTCTGTAGCCACATGGATGTGATCATAGAGTCGGTCAGTTGCCGCGTTTCCGCTATGGGACCTGTAGAGGCAGGCGTAGACTGCGATGGTCATCGACGTACACGCAACCATAAGATGGAGAGGTCCCTACCTTCAAAGTTGCTGAGGCGACGGAAACTGATACCCTCTTTAACGTACACACATACCCCAGCCCGTGGTACAAAGGAATGTTCCAAAGTATACCCAGGGTACTGGAGGTAGGAGGTGTCGGCTGGAGAGAATATCTGCGTCTCAGTCAAAAAAAGCAAGGCCGGCTGCACTGTCTGAAGGTGGTAGTGAACAGCATTAAGGTTGGAGTGTAAGCCCCTGATGTTGCAGAAATCCACGTTAAACATGGCAGGGGGTGTCGTATGACGCTTGCTCTGGCTTCGAGCGGTTTCAGTAATGAGTGCGGTTTCGCCCTCCCCAGAATACGAAGGGCAGCCTCGACGTCCGCGTCCAGAAGGAGACAGTTCTGGGCATGGACTTCCAGAGGGGGATTCTCCAGCGTGAAAACAGCTGGTACCCCCCTGGGGTATAATCCTATTTAACTGCGCCATCATGAGGAAAAGGGGGGGGGGGGGGCGAATCACAGTACAAAGTACTGCTTCACGCCGGTATTCTGTGAGGTCGTGGTATTCCTCCGGTCGAGCCGGCTCATTCATGCAGTAGCCTGAGCTACTGCGTGGCTCTCCCACCATGTGCTTGTAGAAGCTTAAACTAAATAAATGATTTTTTTTCAACCAAACGTTTCACTGCATGCTCCTTTGCATAGCCCGTAATTTTGAATTTTCGAACAATTTGACGACCTACAGAAATAAACCACTCGGATAGTAAGGATCCTCGGGGCGGATAGTAAGGATGAGGGTGTAGTCACCTGCGCGCCAGTATGTCCCGGGCGCGTGCGGGCTATGGCGCGGGCGCGGCGTGGTGCGGCCGCTCCAGCGCGAGGAGGGCGGCGCCCGGTACGTCAGGATGAGGGTGTAGTCACCTGCGCGCCAGTATGTCCCGGGCGCGTGCGGGCTATGGCGCGGGCGCGGCGTGGTGCGGCCGCTCCAGCGCGAGGAGGGCGGCGCCCGGTACGTCAGGATGAGGGTGTAGTCACCTGCGCGCCAGTATGTCCCGGGCGCGTGCGGGCTATGGCGCGGGCGCGGCGTGGTGCGGCCGCTCCAGCGCGAGGAGGGCGGCGCCCGGTACGTCAGGATGAGGGTGTAGTCACCTGCGCGCCAGTATGTCCCGGGCGCGTGCGGGCTATGGCGCGGGCGCGGCGTGGTGCGGCCGCTCCAGCGCGAGGAGGGCGGCGCCCGGTACGTCAGGATGAGGGTGTAGTCACCTGCGCGCCAGTATGTCCCGGGCGCGTGCGGGCTATGGCGCGGGCGCGGCGTGGTGCGGCCGCTCCAGCGCGAGGAGGGCGGCGCCCGGTACGTCAGGATGAGGGTGTAGTCACCTGCGCGCCAGTATGTCCCGGGCGCGTGCGGGCTATGGCGCGGGCGCGGCGTGGTGCGGCCGCTCCAGCGCGAGGAGGGCGGCGCCCGGTACGTCAGGATGAGGGTGTAGTCACCTGCGCGCCAGTATGTCCCGGGCGCGTGCGGGCTATGGCGCGGGCGCGGCGTGGTGCGGCCGCTCCAGCGCGAGGAGGGCGGCGCCCGGTACGTCAGGATGAGGGTGTAGTCACCTGCGCGCCAGTATGTCCCGGGCGCGTGCGGGCTATGGCGCGGGCGCGGCGTGGTGCGGCCGCTCCAGCGCGAGGAGGGCGGCGCCCGGTACGTCAGGATGAGGGTGTAGTCACCTGCGCGCCAGTATGTCCCGGGCGCGTGCGGGCTATGGCGCGGGCGCGGCGTGGTGCGGCCGCTCCAGCGCGAGGAGGGCGGCGCCCGGTACGTCAGGATGAGGGTGTAGTCACCTGCGCGCCAGTATGTCCCGGGCGCGTGCGGGCGGCAGCGCGGGCGCGGCGTGGTGCGGCCGCTCCAGCGCGAGGAGGGCGGCGCCCGGTACGTCAGGATGAGGGTGTAGTCACCTGCGCGCCAGTATGTCCCGGGCGCGTGCGGGCTATGGCGCGGGCGCGGCGTGGTGCGGCCGCTCCAGCGCGAGGAGGGCGGCGCCCGGTACGTCAGGATGAGGGTGTAGTCACCTGCGCGCCAGTATGTCCCGGGCGCGTGCGGGCGGCAGCGCGGGCGCGGCGTGGTGCGGCCGCTCCAGCGCGAGGAGGGCGGCGCCCGGTACGTCAGGATGAGGGTGTAGTCACCTGCGCGCCAGTATGTCCCGGGCGCGTGCGGGCTATGGCGCGGGCGCGGCGTGGTGCGGCCGCTCCAGCGCGAGGAGGGCGGCGCCCGGTACGTCAGGATGAGGGTGTAGTCACCTGCGCGCCAGTATGTCCCGGGCGCGTGCGGGCTATGGCGCGGGCGCGGCGTGGTGCGGCCGCTCCAGCGCGAGGAGGGCGGCGCCCGGTACGTCAGGATGAGGGTGTAGTCACCTGCGCGCCAGTATGTCCCGGGCGCGTGCGGGCGGCAGCGCGGGCGCGGCGTGGTGCGGCCGCTCCAGCGCTAGGAGGGCGGCGCCCTGCTTCAGTCGCGCGATGCGTTCTCGCGCCCCCGGGGCGGAGCTGCCCGCCCACGCGGCCAGGCGCCGGATCCTGCGCTCCACCGCTATTCCACCCTCCTGCGGCACAAACACCCATGTTCGCTTATACGATAAACTCCCAAGCGATATCCAAGCGTTAACCATAAATAAATTTAAAGATACTATAAAAAAAGTGCTTATTAAAAAAGCTTATTACAAAGTGTCCGATTATATTACAGACAAGAATGCTTTTAATAATAATAATAATAGTTTATTTTTCTACAAAGATAATGATTACATAGCTCATTATCACATAGATATGACACAATTTTGACATAATATTATAACTGCTGGTACTTAAAAAAGAATACTCTGTGCTATAAGTACCAGCCTCTATCCAAATTCACATCATTTGATTATTCATTTTAACTCAAAAACTTTGACAATCATTAATTTAGGCAATATATATATATATATATATATATATATATATATATATATATATATATATATATATATATATATATATATATATATATCTGTGTGTGTGTCTTTTTCTGTTGTCTATGTGAATAGAAGAAGTTTAAGAGTCACTTATGCACAGACTGGTTTAAGAAGTTCCTCTGTTTCCTCATAATTTAATTTTAAGAGCCAATCTGTAACCATTTTTTTACATGCATGTTTACTTTTGTGTAGTATGTTCAATTTACTATTAATTTTATTATATAAGAAACATCCTAAAAAGTAATAATATTTACAACCAAAAGAAGTTCTGATTGTTTTAGTAAGTGGAATTTTAACTTTTCGTCTAGATTTGTTGCTTTTAACAAGGCTGTTTAGATTTACATCACAGTGCCGCTTAAGAATGATTTGCAAGATAAACAATTGTCGCACTGTCAGAACTTTACAATACTCATAAAGATCCTTCGTAGGAAAGCGGTAAGGCTTAAAGGTACACACTTTTAATACGGCTCTTTGTGCCCGTTCAAGTCTTAATACGTGGGTTTTACATGCACCACCCCAGGACAATATGCAATATCCCAGTAAGGACTGGCATAGGGAATAGTATACGGTCTTCAAGATCTTTGGATCAGCAACATGTCTTAAATGCCTAAAGATAAAGATAAGTTTGCGAATTCTTTTAGCCAGTACCTCAATATGTGGAATAAATGATAGTCTTTCATCCAGAATTACGCCTAAATATTTGATTATTGGTGAGCTACCCAGTACTGGGCAATCACACTGGCATTTTGTGTCCCTGTGGTAATGTGCCCGTATATGGAATTGTTCTGGGTCCAGATGGTTAATTCGTTTGATGTTAAACTGTAGATATTTGGTTTTATCAATATTTAATGACAAGGTGTTGTCAGAGAGCCAATTTGTTACAGCATCAAAACCCTTTTGAGCAGCAATATAGGTTTGTTCCCAAGTATCTGAAGAAAATATTAATGCTGTATCGTCCGTGAAAGCAATTACTTTACCATTTGTCAGTTCAAGTTTAAGCATGTTATTTAGATATACTAAAAAGAGGGCCCTAGTATGCTTCCCTGAGGTACACCATATTCCACCGGAAGCGCATCACTTATATACTGGTCAATCTTTACAGACTGCGTGCGGTCGGTGAGGTAACTTTGGAACAACTTATACTGGTTGCCTCTAATTCTCAGTTTCTCCAATTTATTAAGAAGATTTGGGATGGACACCATATCGAAGGCCTTAGCCAAATGTAGGAAAATCCCTACACACTTTTTGCCATGTCCAATGAATTCACAACCAAGTTGGTTAGTTCATGTACCGCATCGTTGGTAGATTTATTAGTTCTAAAACCTAATTGTCTGTCTGATATCAATTTATTGTCCTCAAGATATTTTTTAAGACGGTTATTCATCACTCTTTCGAGTACTTTAGATAGAGCCGGTAATACTGATATTGGACGATAATTATTTACGTTGTTTCTGTCTCCAGATTTGTGAATTATATGTATCAGTCCTTTTTTGAGTAAAGCAGGGAACTCCCCATCTTTGATGCATAAATTGACAATGTAAGTTAAGGGAGGGACGAGAACCGACTTGTATGTCTTAAGATTGCTGGATGAAATTCCATCGATACCTACAGCACAATTAGTCCGCAAAGAATTTATTATACTTTTAATTTCTGTTTCGTCAACTTCAAAAAGTATAAAAGAAGCACAAAGGCCACTATGTTGTGATTTAGATGCTTTATTAATCTTAGTGAATTTTGGGACCTTACTTGCGAGATCTTTTCCAATACCAACAAAAAACGTATTAATTTCATTGACAGAATCTTTGGGATTTGTACTTGTAGTTTCAACAACTCTCTAGAAGAAATGTTACTTTTTGTCGTATGTGTTACCTGTCTAATAAGATTCCAGAGTTTTCTTGGATTAGATTGCGCAGTATACAGTTTTTGGGATTCATACTGTCTTTTAAGTTTTTTAATTATATAACTGCAAAAGTTTCTGTATCTATTAGGGGCTGTTCAAGTATTACGTAAGCACTATAGGGGGGCAGGGGGGTCTTTGCTTTGCTTATTTTTGATGACATGGGGGGTGCGGGGTAAAGATGGTGATTACATCAGCATCATCGATTAAGTACTGCTGCTCATGGAGCTCATGAAAGCTCATGAATCAATAAAAAAAAACAGAATACATTAAAGGAAAAATGAATATAGGTACCAATGTTTACGTAAGGATGGGGGGAGGGGTAAGAGCTTTGCTTACTTTTGCTGACGAGGGGGAGGAGGGGGTAAATAATTGTAATAAATCTGCTTACGTAATACTTGAAAATTATATGTAGTCTTGAGTATCTCATTTTTGGGATGTCGTAACACATTTTTATACATTCTATCCCTATTTCTAATGCATCGAAGAATACCCGGGGTAATCCAAGGTTTAAGGATTTGTAAGCGATGAGGCACCGTAAAAAATTGGTACTGTTATGTATGCTTTTGGTAAGGGGATTTACAAAGTCGTTAAGTACATCATTGGCATCTTTACAAGTGTAAATATAGGAATAGTCGATTTCATTAATGCACTTTTCCAATTTTATGTGATTTAACTTTACTTCTTTCGTTTATTGCGTAGTTAATTTTAGTTTTTTCTAGAGAGACAATGACAGCATTGTGGTCAGTGACTGTAGAATCCAATACTATAGTTGTAGCCCTAAGCTTACTTTTCAATATTACGTGGTCTACAGCTGTTTTACCATGAGTTGCCTTTGTGTGAGCTGGTAAAAGACCATGACTGGCAATCAAATTCAAGTACTCATCACATTTCCTGTCATTACTATTTGATATAGCTATATTAATATCTCCTATTAAAACGATGTTCGAAAACTGTGAATGGTCTGATAATATCCGATCTAAGGAAGAAAGAAAGTTTGAGATATCTTAAAAAGATGGAGGTCTATATATTGCCAAAATACATGTATCATGACCCAATCTTAAGAGCAGGCAATTTGCATCTGTGGCGGCGACATCTATATGCCCCACATATAGACAACGGATGGAGGAAATCATTACTCACCATCCTCAAGAGATGGCGTTACCTGCACTGCGATCAATAATAGTATGGAAGCCTACATCGCGCAAATGAAATTCGAAAGCTAACTCTTCATATATACGATGCCCGACCAACATCAGTTGGGCCGCGGCCCCCGAGCTACCACCACCCAGCTCGGAGGAAGATCTTCCCCTTTGGCCTTCCTACACATCCATAAAAGCTGGTTCAGTAACTACTGTATCTCTTATGGATTTCCTGACATATACAATTACTCCATCATTCTGATTTATCCTTTTTTGAGTTGAATAATGGTAATAACCCTCCATCATCGGTATGTTAGAGTTACAGGAAAGCCAACATTCTGTAAGAACAATGATGTCCTGGCGCACTTCGAAACCACATAGTAAAGATTGTCGTGTAGCGACAAAATAAAACTAGATAGAAACAAAAAAATAAAGGAAAAATCAAAAGAACAGTATAGGAAATATATATTTACAAAGCAAAATATTTACAGATTAACAATTAAAAAAAAGAGGTAAGGTGTGTGTGAAGTGTGGGGTGTGAAGTGGTAGTGGTGAAGTGGGCGTGGGTCGTCGGCGATCTTCAGAGGCGGCTTGAACGGTAGGTCGTGCTGCAGGCAGATGGACGGCACTCCTTGGAGGCAGAAGCGCTCCTGTTCAGCCGTCTCAGTTCTTGGCCTGCCCTGGTGGTGGCTGGCGGCGCTGCTGGTAGATTGGCCGGCGTATATCGGCCAGTGGCAGGAGTTGATGGAACGGCAGGTGTCGGTAGAAGGCGGGCTGAAGCAGTTGGAGGCTGGCCAAAGAAGCTGGAGTCCAGGCGGCAGTCCCACCGATGAGGTTGCGAGTACGTGAAGATGACGAGAAGAGTAGTAGAGTAGTAGGGTTAAGGAGTTATTTAGAGAGCCAATAGGTGCTATATAGCTTTGAGGTCTTTCTTGAGGCCTTTTATTAATTTAGAGCTCGGTAGCGAGCTTTCAAAAGTTGAGTAGGCAACTTTTGCCGTAGAATTGAATGAAAGATCAGGGTGGCTCGGCCTTTTATAGGTCCGGAACCATTTAAATTTAGATACGGTTCGAATCGAGCCAAAAAGAATCAAAGTAGGTGGTCTGTGGAGGTTGAATAGTCATAGACGTAGTTGGAGAGAGTATCCGTGTCATGGGTAGCCATGACAACGGATAAAAAACATTAAGTTGTCATAAATTTCAATAAAATTAATAAATTTAAAATAGATAAAATCGAAGCAAAATAAAGAAAACAAATAAATAACAGAATAAACAGAAATGCCGGTAAGTGTCCAGCACTCTGGAATAGTGATTTTCAGTACAGAAGAAATTATTATACATATTTACAAAATGATGAATATTGTGTGATATTTTTGAAATTATGTGTTTCCAGAAATACATAATAAAATATATGATGATGCCTGATGAATATCGATGATGTTATATGATAAAATGTGCGAAATGGAACCTATGATAGTCGAAACCATGGGACGATTATTAAGGTACGTTACATTTTCCTCCACGACCCCAGAAAATTTTCGACTAGAGAAAATTTTGCTTAAAGAAAAGGCCAGAAGAGATCCGAGGAACACTACTTCGCAGAACCATACAACTATTCATACAAATACACATTCCTCTTCTATCATACCTCAACTTCATACAGGTAAGGGTGGAGTTCACGATCAATGACAGCCGCTCGGACATATGGCTTCTTTAACGAGTAGTCAGCCGCTCGGAAAGAAGTACCTGTTAGTACTTAAGAATGTAGGGTTAAGGTAGAGAAGACCATTAGGGTAGTCTTAGGTAAAGGTTAAAGTAAAGGCTTTAGTTGCCTTTAAAGAGGTTAAGTAAGGTAGAGCACTGGAGAAAAGTACTCTGTACTGTAGTGCGTTACAAAAGATTGATCACAAACCGTTTTTGAAACTGAAGCGTTAGGGTATTCATGGACCCCTACTGGTATCGCTATGTTCTTACTAAGAGCTGTTAAAGATAGTTATGAACGACTACAAACCGAAACCATTCTTCGTCTCGTCGGGAGTGCTCCAGGGTTCGATCTTGGGACCAATTCTATTTCTCGTGTTCATGAACGATATTTTTGGCGACGATTTAAAGTTGTATCGACCAATCAAAAACGAGAAAGATTATCTCCAAAAAGAGCAATATAGCAGATAAGGGGCGCGACGAAAAGAGACGGCTATATAACTGACCATGCATTTGAATATCACAAATATTTTCTATTAAAGTATATAGTATTTAACAACTTAAGTTGACATGGAAGAAGACCTAAAAAATGATATCATCATCAGCCGAAAGACGTCCACTGTTGGACATAGGCCTCCCCCATGGATTTCCACAACGATCGGTCCCATGCTGCCCGCATCCAGCGGCTTCCCGCGACCTTTACCAGATCGTCGGTCCACCTTGTGGGGGGCCTGCCAACACTGCGTTTCCCGGTACGCGGTCGCCACTCGAGGACCTTTCCGCCCCAGCGGCCATCGGTCCTGCGAGCAATGTGCCCTGCCCATTGCCACTTAAGGTTTGCAATTCTGTGGGCTATGTCGGTGACTTTAGTTCTCTTGCGTATCTCCTCATTTCTGATTCGATCACGCAGAGAAACTCCGAGCATAGCCCTCTCCATTGCCCTTTGGGTGACTTTGAGCCTTCTTACAAGACCCATTGTAAGCGGCCACGTCTCGGTTCCGTATGTCATCACTGGCAACACGCACGAATTGAAGACTTTCGTCTTGAGGCACTGCGGTAGATGTTCCGAGAAGATGCTACGTAGCTTCCCGAACGCTGCCCAGCCGAGTTGGATTCGTCGATTAACCTCTTTCTGGAAGTTGGACTTACCCAGTTGGACTATTTGTCCCAGGTATACGTACTGGTCAACAGCTTCCAGTGTAGAGCTCCCAACAGTCACTGGAGTGGGTACGACATTGGAATTCGACATGATTTTCGTCTTGTCCATGTTCATTTTGAGACCCACTTGTTGGGACACCCTACTGAGGTTGCCGAGCATTGTGCCAAGGTCATCCATGGTCTCAGCCATGACTACGATATCATCTGCAAATCGAAGGTGCGTCATGTACTCGCCGTTTATGTTGATGCCAAGTCCGCTCCAGTCCAAAAGTTTGAAAACGTCTTCCAGCGCAGCTGTAAACAGTTTCGGTGATATAACGTCACCCTGTCTTACACCACGCTGCAGCTGGATTGACTTCGTGTTTTGGTCCTGGAGTCGAACTGACATAGTGGCGTTTTCATACAACGACTGCAACACTTCGATGTATCGATAGTCTATTTGGCACCTTTGGAGTGACCGAAGCACGGCCCATGTCTCGATCGAATCGAAGGCTTTCTCGTAGTCCACAAACGCCAAGCATAATGGCAGGTTATACTCTTCGGTCTTCTGCATAACCTGCCGCAGCGTATGGATGTGGTCTACGGTACTAAACCCTTTTCGGAATCCGGCTTGTTCGGGAGGCTGGAAGTCGTCAAACCTGCGCGCGAGACGATTCGTGAGGACTCTCGAAAACAGCTTGTATACATGACTCAGGAGCGTGATGGGTCTGTAATTGGGCCCTGTCGCCCTTCTTGAAGAAAAGCGCCACCACTCCCCTATGCCATGCGCTAGGCGTTCTGCCCGCGAGTATGACAGAGTTAAATAGCTTCTGAAGAGATTTCAAGACTGGTCGTCCACCTGCTTTCAGAAGCTCGGCTGTAACTCCGTCATCACCCGGCGCCTTATTGTTTTTGAGCTGTTTCAGAGCTACACTAATCTCGTACAGGCTGACGTCCGGGATATCTTCGGTGTAGTGTCGGGTTAATTTGGCTCTTGGGTCGGTCGCCTTTGTGACAGGTACTCGTGATGTCGCGTATAGCTGTCCGTAGAAGCTTTCGATCTCAGCCATAAGCTCAGGTTGCGACGAAATGATTCTGCCGTCCTCTGTCTTCAGCCTCGTCAGCAAACTCTGTCCAAGAGACAGATTTCTTGCGAACACTTTCGAGCCTTTGTTCCGCTCGATGGCCTCTTTAATACGATCAGTATTAAAGCGGCGTATGTCGCGAGTCAGAGACTTCGAAATCTGCCTATTGAGCTGCCGACGTGCATCTTCAGAGGACTGCAGACCCATCTCACGCCTTTTCTCCATGAGCTTGGGAGTCGGCTCCGAGATCTTGCTGCGTTTTTTGGTACGGATGGGCTTGCAGAACTTTGAGCCCACCGTAAGGACAGCTTCAACAAACCTGTCATTATAATTGTCCACGTCTACGCAGCTCTCTAGGCAATCGAAGCGATTTTGCAGTTCGAGTTGAAAGCGCTCGGGGTTTTGGATCCGGATGGCTTCAGGACGGAGCGTGGACTTCATCAGTCGATTCCTTTCGGCTTTGACATTTAGATTCAATGTGCCTTTTACCATTCGGTGATCGCTTCCCGTATTGAACGAATTGATCACTGAGACATCATTGAATATCCGAGTCTTAGTCGACATGATGAAGTCAATCTCATTTTTGTCACGCCATCCGGACTTTTCCAGGTCCATTTTCGATGCAGCCGTTCTCTGAAGAAGGAGTTCATCATAAAGAGTCCCTCCTTCTCCATGTACTCGGCTAGCATTTGACCTCGGAAGTTCCGGATTCCAACTCCAAATTGCCCCACTTTCAACTCATCATCGCCACGTTTGCCCAGCCTTGCGTTGAAGTCCCCCATGACAACAGTGTAATGGGTCCTGGAAGCATGCATTGCCCGAGAAATATCCTCATACATGACTTACACTTCCTCGTCGGGGTACGTCGAGGTCGGAGCGTATACCTGTATGACCTTCAACGAATACCGTTTGGTGATTCTGAGTATAAGGTACGCCACCCTATTCGACACACTACCGATCTGTACAACATTGTTCACGAGAGACTTGTGGACAACAAACCCGACACCACCCTGGGACAGATCTTCGCCCTCCCGGAAATAGAGCAGGTTGCCGGATTTAAGGACCATCGTGTCCTCGCCCTCTCTTCGGACTTCTGATAGTCCTACAATACTCCAGCGAATCCTGCTCAATTCTTCCTCCAGTTCCAGCAGCTTCTCCTCGGTCCGCAGTGTGCGTGCGTTGTACGTTGCCAGGGCCAAGGTCGTTTGACGGGGGATTTTTGCCGCCCGGGGATTCTTCGCACCCCTGGTCCCGGCGCCGAGTCGGGGTCCGTCAGCGCCGCCACGGACTCCAGCACCGCCGGGCACTTGGGGCCTCTTATTATGTACTATCATTTTAGGGGGGGGTTTTGGGCCGTCTCCCACCACGCTGGCCCAGTGCGGGTTGGTGGGGAGCGCCAGAGCCTCGTCCGTTGGTCGGCAGGGTACACCGCGGGCAGGTGAGGTTGGCTTGGGTGCCGTTGGGTGTTAGGCGGCACCCCTTATACCCTTATAAAAAATGATAATAATTCCCAAACTTAAGACGTATAATACGTTTTAAGAAGCACATACGACAAAATCTAAAAATTTAAGAGTAGACATGATGTAAGTATTTTACGTTGAAGTGTTGTGTTTTGTAATCGGTTGGTTTACGTCAGCCATCTTCACTCTCCCGATCAACCTGTTGACTACTTCTTCTATCCTATTTGTTAAGTTCTTGTTTTATTTGTTGTGTTTGTTGTTATTTTATTACTTTTAAGTTTAAAGTTGTTAATAAATTATAGGTTACATAAATTATACCTAATCACTGACTAGTAGGTACTTTCTGACATTATAAAAGTTTTAGAACCTCAGATTCTTTGTGACATTTTGTCTCACGCTAAAGTGAATAGACTATAGGGTATTAAATAACGTTGCCACTGGATCACAAATCTATTTTGGCTCACCAAAAACGCCAGGGCGATGCATCAACGTCTTTTTCAGGTATTAAATTAGGTAATAGGGTATTTGACAAGTTTTAGAAAACGATCTCACGTTATTGACTTATGTTTAAGGAGTCCATAAAAATAAATATTCATCATTCTGTTGTATATTTCAGTAAAAATAACCAAATCAAAAACTCTATTTTCAAGTTGCCGCGAATACGTTTTCCTGGACGATATGGCGTCTTACTAGTGTGTGACGTCACACGACTGTTATTAAAACGTCAAACGATACAATGTAATGCCACTTTAACCGGAAGTTTACTTGCGTGTGACGTCATTTTAAGCTCCACCAATTCTAAGCGTTTTGGGTCACGTGACAATAGATAAGAAAACTATTATCTTTTTCGTGGTTTTTTAGTCAAATTATGAACGTATTGATTTGTAAAAAATAGTAAAAACTCCTGCCAATATTCATTCTAAACACAGATGCCAACAATTGGCACTTTATTTTTAATACTGTCAAATACCCTATCGCAGTTGAATCTCACCATGTCGTAATGGTTCTGCAGTATCCTCGCTTCAGTGGTGTCGGCGAGGTCGTTGAGTAGGCCCGTCAGCACGTGGTCGGCACAGCGCGGGGACAGGCTGGCCCGCAAGTCTTCCACTAACACGTCCAATGCTTGAGGCAAGGCGTCCGCGTCTTCCTCAAGTTCCTCTGCATCAATAACGGTTACATTCTATGACGATTCATAGTTATCATTATTCAGCCTATTAATGTCCCCACTGCTGGGGTACAGGTCTTCCCTATGGATGGAATAGGGAGATTGGGCCATGACCCCCCACGCGGGCCCAGTGCGTATTGGCGGGTGCTCACGACTGCAGATGCAGCCGGGGCCGACGGCTTAATGTGGGTTGCGAAGCACGTAGGAATTCGGGATCGAAGATTTTTGGTCACACATCCAATGACCGACCACTGCGGATGTTGCTTCAGTTCAACGATCGCATCCGAACGCGCCGAGCGTCGGCGCGCGGGGCGAGGGCGGGGTCACTGACCGGGCGGGTCGGGGGGGGCGGGTGCAGCGAGGCGCGCGGGCCGAGGGCGGGGTCACTGACCGGGCGGGTCGGGGGGGGCGGGTGCAGCGAGGCGCGCGGGCCGAGGGCGGGGTCACTGACCGGGCGGGTCGGGGGGGGCGGGTGCAGCGAGGCGCGCGGGCCGAGGGCGGGGTCACTGACCGGGCGGGTCGGGGGGGGCGGGTGCAGCGAGGCGCGCGGGCCGAGGGCGGGGTCACTGACCGGGCGGGTCGGGGGGGGCGGGTGCAGCGAGGCGCGCGGGGCGAGGGCGGGGTCACTGACCGGGCGGGTCGGCGCGGGCGGGTGCAGCGAGGCGCGCGGGCCGAGGGCGGGGTCACTGACCGGGCGGGTCGGCGCGGGCGGGTACAGCGAGGCGCGCGGGCCGAGGGCGGGGTCACTGACCGGGCGGGTCGGCGCGGGCGGGTGCAGCGAGGCGCGCGGGCCGAGGGCGGGGTCACTGACCGGGCGGGTCGGGGGGGGGCGGGTGCAGCGAGGCGCGCGGGCCGAGGGCGGGGTCACTGACCGGGCGGGTCGGCGCGGGCGGGTGCAGCGAGGCGCGCGGGCCGAGGGCGGGGTCACTGACCGGGCGGGTCGGCGCGGGCGGGTACAGCGAGGCGCGCGGGCCGAGGGCGGGGTCACTGACCGGGCGGGTCGGCGCGGGCGGGTGCAGCGAGGCGCGCGGCCCAGGCGTGGGCGGGCGGGGCGAGGGCGGCGCGCAGGGCGGACTGCGCCAGCTCCAGGGCGGCGCGGTAAGCACCCGCGGCCCCCGCTAGGCCCCCCGCACAGGATATCAGCCTCTCTCGAGCCCCTTCACCACCGGAGAGACTGCTGCCCCACTCGCACGCTTCGGCGGCTAAACGTTCGGACCACTCGGCCCCAGATTCCGCTTCGTTCATGTGCGCCTGTCGCGAATACAACATTTATAAGGTGTTAGTTATGCGTAGTACAAATATTTCTGTATGTAGCCGATTTGAATAAAGCAAGCCCAATTCCAATATAATGCGTTGACAGCTTTTCAAAACCAAAACATAAGAATTATAAAAAAAGCCAACGTGTTCACACGTTTAAAAACAGTTTTGACTTTTTGATATGTCTAATGTTAATAAAAATACCTTAGTTAGAGGAACATTTATTCAAATGGTAAAATAAGATTATTCCATTCCTTAGTTGTATGGATTTTTAATAACCCTTAAAAGCTCATTAAAATACTTAACTACGGTATACACACACTATTTTTTAACTATCGAAACACCAATATACAATGGTATGGTACAAACTCAGTTCAAAAAATATTTTGTTAGAAAAAATCTTAAGATTTATAGATAAAGTATATAAATGTTTATAATAAAAATCTAGAAATCGAGTATAGTTACCAGGAACAGTTCCCGTTGTGCGTCGGCGTCCTTATAAAGACGCGGCAGGGCGGGCGCGGCGAGGGCCAGCGCGGGGGCGGGGGCCACGTTGGGCGGCAGCGGCCACCGCACCGGCTCCGGGGCCGGCCGCAGCCACCGCCTCAGGGCCGCGGCCCCGCGCTCTACCAGCGCCCCCGCCTCGTTCAATACCGCGCACACTCCCTCTACACTGCCCGTCGTCACACTACGCCTACACAATGACACAACAACATCATGATAGGGCCGGCCCCGGCCCCGGCCCCGGCCGCAGCCACCGCCTCAGGGCCGCGGCCCCGCGCTCTACCAGCGCCCCCGCCTCGTTCAATACCGCGCACACTCCCTCTACACTGCCCGTCGTCACACTACGCCTACACAATGACACAACAACATCATGATAGGGCCGGCCCCGGCCCCGGCCCCGGCCGCAGCCACCGCCTCAGGGCCGCGGCCCCGCGCTCTACCAGCGCCCCCGCCTCGTTCAATACCGCGCACACTCCCTCTACACTGCCCGTCGTCACACTACGCCTATACAATGAAACCAAAACATCATCATACTCGTAGTATGGTACTTAAGAGTATATTCAGTTTATTAACATGTAAATCGAAAAGTATGGGTCCTAGTATGCTGCCTCTAAGAGCGGATGCGAGTTGAGAGACATTTGAGAAATAGGTATTTGAAAAAACTATTGCTGTCACGTTGGCAACAACCGTACATAGGGACTTAGATTAAAAGAAAAAGGGTAGATACGGTACACTCATACTTGCATCAAACAAAAACTGATCACACGGCAGAACGGGACGGCGAGATCCGCGACACTGCATTACCGACCCGAACGAAACAGCACGTTAAGTTTCAACGGCAGCGTGAACGGGACGGCGAGATCCGCGTCACTGCACTACCGACCAATCACGCGACCAGTACTCCACGTTACTACCGAATAATGTTCAAAACAAACAGCAATTTTTATGAAAAAATATATTTTATAGTACTTACGAATGAAAAGTGATGCCGTGGATTTTATTTTAAGTTCTTGAGCAAGTTTTAATATTTCTTTTTGGCGTTCACATGTACGTCGTTTGCATGTCAAGTTGTAACTAAAGCGATTAGGGTCGTGGACCACAATTCATGCGGATCACTTTTGTGAGGCTAGTGCCGTATCTACCCTTTTTGTTTTAATCTAAGCATAGGGACAATAGTAGTTAACGCTGAAAATTGCGTATAAAAATTGCTAAATGTCATGCGCCGTTCTCACCGTCGTCACGTCATCCGTCAACCCCCCGCTGGGTGGGAACGATTGCATTGTTTTGCCGATTTCTCTGTTATTTCGTAAGAATACTCAAACTATACATATTTGGATTCTCCATAAAATTTACTATAAAACAGTGTCTACACAATGCGCCATGTCTATAATCTATTTTAATTACGTTACGGTAAACACGGGAAAGAAAAAAAAAAGTCGTTTAGATGGGTAAAATAGGATGTATTTCTAAAATTTGTAAATTTTTAAGTCCATGTTTTTTGGTTATTTACACATTCTTTTATAACTTACCAAATAAAATTATAAAATACCATACTCCTACGAAAAGTCGCATGAGGTCACGTTTGAGTACACTTTTAAGTGAAAATTCACTAAAAAGTGACGTCACGAGCCCCTACTCCCAAACTTTGACGCGCTATAACTTTGTCATTTTTTGGTTGATTGCCCAAAGGAAAAATACGTGTCCATTATTTTTTGATCATCTAACTGACGGACTAAATAGAATTTTGTTTACTGTACCCCGTCATCACCCCTATTTTATTTACACTATACCTCTAACAATCAGCGTGCCAGATGCGTCACCTAAAGACGCAATAGAAAAAACAGGTGTCGGGTTTCAAGCCGGCGATAAAAACGAACGCGCGCTCTAAGTGCCGTGATTTATGGGTTTACGTTTAGTTTGGATTGTTTACATTACTTTAGTAAGAAGTGGCGGATGAAAAGTCTTTGTTCGTTTTAATAGTTTCAAGAACTCGCAACAAGGCATTCGAAAACCGCCTACAAATCAATCATCTCAATTTTATGTCGATAAAACTAAAAGTAGGGGAAACTACCCAATCGTTGGCACTCTTCCTATTTATTGGCACTTTTGAGTTTAGTTCGAAAAAGCTAGGAAACAATAGATTGTAGGAATAATGCTGCCAATTTTCAAATTTGACGACCTCCGTGGCCGAGTGGTTTGTACGCCGGGTTTCATGGTGTCGCCGACTCGAGAGGTCCCGGGTTCGAATCCCGGTGGGGGCAGATGTTTGTGTGATGAATACGTGCATTTGTACTCCAGTTATGGATGTTTAATATGTATTTCTATATAAATATACTTATATATGTACAATATATGTATTCTATCCGTTACCCTAGTATCCCATAACACAAGCCTTATAGTGCTTACTTTGGGGCTAGGCTAATTGGTGTGTGTGTTGGAAATATTTATTTATTATTTATTTATACTAGGTTTTTCTTTTTAATATGTAACGACCTTGAATAATCTACGGTCTCCTTCTTTTTTCGTACCAATAATAGGACGAGTGCCAATGATTGGGTGGTTTCCCCTATGTATATTTTGATAAACAGTTTCTTTTATCAAAATGTATATGAAATTTTCTTTAGAATAAACAAAAACTAATCACTAGTTCGCATACAAGAAAATAATATGAAAAATTATTTCGTTCGTGTATTTGAATTTAGAACGACCATTACACTGCACGGATTTGGTTTTCTTTCATTTCTTCAAAAATACTAACTCAAGAGATTTTCTGTATTCGAAATATTAATCATGAATAATTTATTCAATAATTATTATTTAAAACATTACAATTATTATCGAAATTATCACAATGAAAACATAAGCCACTAACCATTTTTTTTGGTGTTTTTTTACGAGGACGTGAGCAAAAAAAAATAACCGCAAACGAAACATCAAAATACAGTAACTCAATGTATTTAACTTACCCAGGCATGGTGTATTTTTCTTTAAAACCACTGAAAAACACTTAAAATAGCCTGAATACACTTAACGTCCACTTAACAAGGGACGGCGAACGACGAACTTACACAGACAACAGTATAAATATTTCATATGGCAGTTGACATAATCAATGACTAGATAGCTAGCCTGTTCTTTCCTCCATAATAATAAATTATATAAATGGCTAAATGAAAACAATTTTTATGACCTAAAAAGATTTTTCAAATATAAAAATTAATGACATGTTTTAACTTATCCTATAATAATTATGATTACATATATCATCTTTTTATTTTTTTTTATATCTGACATTTAGAAATCTTGTAATATTAATATGTTGACATTGTATATTTTATTGAGATAATATTAGGTAACTCTACATTCATAATTTTACAGAAAAATGTTATAATTAATTAATCTCTTTTTTTATTGGTTCCATATTATGTATTTGCATGCAATTTTTAAAATGGCAAAACACGTGCTCAATCTGTCTATGTGTAATACCTATATACCGTGTTTTTAGCAAATAAAGATTATGATTTATGATTTATAAATTGATATAAGAATGTAGGTGATAGCAATAAGAATGAATGTTATATTTTCCATAGAATAATTGGGGTCGCGCGGGGTCGACTTTCGGCCGCTTAACATATTGGCAATTTTTGACAAGAGCCAAAAGTCAGCCGCTTAACATTATAGAGGTTTCGAGGTTTGGCTCGATTCACAAATAATAATAAGTAGATATACCTCTATGTTTCGATTTTTAATGTAAATAAATGCTTATTAAATCTCCACACTAGACGTCTTTAGTGGTGACAAAAATTTGTTAATTTTGGGCCTTTTTCGATGGCTTAAAGTTTTGTTGAAACACAAGCTATCGAAAAAGGAAGACATAGGAGCAAAGAATGAGTAAAATAGGGAAGATGCAATATTTTTATTTTTGTTTTCATTTTAAAGAATTCCATGTAGAATAAACCACAGATATATTAAAAAATTAAAACATTGTGATTTATCGGAAAAAATGCGGTTTTAAATTGACAATTTAAATTTTCGCGCGAAAACGAACCTATGGTTGCGATGACGTCACTCCTGTCTGTCACTGGCCGTACTTGTTCGTCGCTGGCTTTAAATTTTCATACTTTTGCATATTATTTCGACTTTCGAAATATTTTTTTGAAAAATTTAAAATGGACTATCCATCAACATCATGTGATCATAACAATACCACTAATATTCCGAAAAAAAGCCGTGTTGACTCATGTTTTGTGCCAATCTACTTCAACAAAGTTTCCAAATAAATTGTTTTTGACTGGAACTTCTGACCCAAAACTGAAAAAAAAAGTGGTTTCAAGCTGCGAAGAGAAATGACAATTATTCTCCAAAGACCATTATTCGATGCTGTGAAGATCACTTTGACGTAAGTCGGCGAATATACTTTTTATATGCTTAATTAATCTGCTTGTACGTAAAAACGCATTAGTAACCTACCTAATACTTACAAAACCTGTCTATAACATATTTTTAATTTTACACTTGGAGAATGACGTCGAAAATTCGATAAACTTTAAAATGTGTGGCACAATCTTCACGTTGGCAGGACTGAACCAAGCTTTGCGTTTCATTTAAAATAACTAAACTAACTAACTAACTAATGGTAAAAAGGTACAACCGCGATACCACACTTTTGGGGTTTTGGAGGATGGGGGGGGGGGGGGGGGGGGGCTAACCTCCCCTAACTACTCCCCCCCCCCCCGGAGACGCATAGTTTCAGAGATATTCAATAAAGAAGGTACGACCGCGATACCAAAATTTGGGGTTTTGGAGGATGGGGGGAGGAGGGGGGGACCTCCCAAACCCCCCCTAACTACTCCCCCCCCCTCGGAGACGCATAGTTTTAGAGATATGCAATAAAGAAGATACAAACGCGATACAAAAATTTGGGGTTTTGGAGGATGGGAGGGAGGGGGAGCCCCCCAAAGCCCCCCTAACTACTTCCACCCCCCCCCCGGAAACGCATAGTTTCAGAGATATGCAATAAAGACATTTTGAGGTTATAAATTTATAAAAGTTACATTATTGTGCATTTTAGAGAATTTGGATGGGGAACCCTTCCCCCTACCTTCAACCCGGGGAGGGTTGAAGGTAGGGGGAGGGGTTTTTGACCTTTGTTTAAGTATACATTTAAACTATCGGTACTTAATTCCATTATATGTAATCGAATTTTGGGGTAATTTGTAGGGGAGGGGGAGGGGGGGCTCTCCCCGACAACCCCGCCATAAAAGATTTTTGGCGGAAATGCAGTTTTTTTTTTACCTAACCTAAAAATTCATTAAATCTGTTAAATGTAGTGGAATTTCAGGGGGATAGGTATAAGGGAAGACTCCTCAGAGGGAAGGGTAACCCCCCCCCCCTCCCGGCGTTTTTTTTACAGAAATGATATTTATAAAAAATTAGAGGGGTTTTAAAGGTAAAACTGTACTTCCAGGGCCTAGATTTTTTTGTAGAAAGAGTCTCTATTAACGAATTTTTCTTTCTGGCGCTTCGCCGGCCGCTCCCGCGGCACGCTCGCTTCGCTCGCTCGGCTCGCGCGTTAAGGTCACAACACTAACCTAACCTAACCTAGTGTGAAGTATCACCACACAAGCGGCTCATTAGAGTCCAAAACTCGCACTACACTCGACTCTTCAGGCGAAGGGACAGCAGAACTCGAGGCCGAAGGCTTTGAGGATGCCATGGTAGTCAGACGATGTTAATATCAACAGGAGTACGAAAAAGCTCTCAATTGTGACGAACACAAACACTGACTGACAGATCTCATTAATGGCGGTAAATTGTCACATTTTGACAATAGCACCAACTTAATAAACTTATATTTACCATAGACAACGAGAAACATGTTATTTTTGCATAAAAAAATGGCAGCACTGATCAAAATTTCTGTCAAAATTGACTCATAACCTACAAAAACATTAATTTTCAATAATTTTTTTCTCGAGTTCTATTCGTTTCCGCCTTAAAAGATTTCGTGTACGTGTTTATAATAGTTAATACTTTGCGTGACAAAAATTTCAGCTTGCAACTCAATTACATATAATGAAAAGCTAAGCCAAACTATCAGATATTGTTCGCAAGTTTACAGTAAATTTATTAAAAAATTTAAAATCAAAACGTTTTATTCAAGGCTCTATAAACCCATTACCTTTGCTTGAACAAAACTAACAAGTACAATATATGACAAACCTGTCAAAGTTTAGTCATTATTGACGAAATATTTTCGATTTTCATATTTTTTTTTCAAATAAACTACGCATCTCCGGGAGATGAAACTTAGCACAAATTACTTCTTAAATACAGATCTTTTCAGTAAAAAATATAACATACATTCAACCTTGGTATCGCGGTTGTACCGTTTAGCCCCGATTGCATTATCGCCGTAAGATTTGTAGAAGCCGCTGAATAAAATACGAAGTTTACCAACTACGACCGTAGTAATTTAGTCCCTTTCATTTCTACACTTAAAAACTCTGCACTTTGGACAAAAAAAGTTATAACCATGTCAACACTAACTCTTGGTAAATTGCTGGAGTCTGCTTTGATAAACGCAACTTCCATTTTTATTAAATGTAAAAAAATGCAATTAATATTCCCATAAAATAATATTTACTTTAACAACCATAACCTCAAAGAAGTTGTCATAACAGGAGTGATGTCACTAATCGCTGATTGGTGTTTTAAAATACGTTCTGTTTCAAGTATTTTTAATTCCTAATAATTGTTAAAAAACAACATTATGTAAAATAAAAACGTTGCAGTGGCATTTCTTTTATATTTTTTTAACATTTTAATCATAAAATTTTCATAAATATTATATATGCATCTTCCCTATTGTATTTTATTTAAGAAAATCATTCCTTTGGTCATTGTATACGCCATTCGTGCATTTAAAAATTGTAGTTCGTATGTGTCAAAATAGATGGCGCTGTAGTTCTTTGCATCACACTTGTAAATATGTTTGGAGCTACATATAGGCAAAACGTCACCTAACTAATAAAAAAATGTATGGTCTAACAAAGTACACTGTAGTTTCATTTTAATTCTTTTGCACCTAAGCTCTCAGATTTAAGAGTCATTTTGGCTCAAACAGTCATAAAAATCAAGGGGAAATCAGTCGAGAACGTTTGTGTGGAAAAATCATTGTCCGCCTCCCCTCTTAAGGACGCTCTTTTGATAAGAAATACATCATCATCATCAGCCTATTAATGTCCCCACTGCTGGGGCACAGGCCTTCCCTATGGATGGAATAGGGAGATTGGGCCATGACCCACCACGCGGGCCCAGTGCGGATTGGTGGATGCTAACGACTGCAAATGCAGCCGGGACCAACGGCTTAACGTACCTTCCGAAGCACGGAAGAGCTCGAGATAGTAAATTTTTGGTCACCCATCCAATGACCGACCACTGCGAAAGTTGCCTAACTTCAACGATCGCAGCCGAACGCGCTAGCCACCTGCGCCATCGAGCTCCTCATAAGAAATACACATGCCATGAAAATTTCAAGTATCTCCATGAGATACGATCCGCTGACATACATCCATTGGTAATCAATAAGGTTTGAGTGTAGGAACTTACCTGATGGACTTCCTGGCGATGAAGAAGATGTCGTCGACCAGGTTGGAGGTGGTGGAGCCGGCCTGAGGAGTGGCCATCTTCAAAGCTTTGTTCACATTCTCCTCCAGGAAGTACCTAGCGGAAGATGTGAAAAATTAATATAGCCTGTAGGACTCGATGGCATCATCATGCCGCCATCATGCGCCATGGCGCTGTGGCGGCGACATCTATATGCCCCACATATATACAACGGATGGAGAAAATCATTACTCACCATCCTCAAGAGATGGCGTTACCTGCACTGCGATCGTAATAGTATGGAAGCCTACATCGCGCAAATGAAATTCGGAAGCTAACTCTTCATATATACGATGCCCGACCAACATCAGTCGGGCCGCGGCCCCCGAGCTAACATCACCCAGCTCGGAGGAAGATCTTCCCCTTTGGCCTTCCTACAGCGCCATCGAGCTCCTCAATGAATAGAGTATCTCTTATCTATTAGACAAGTCCGTCCGTCCGTCTGTCTGTGGTGCTGTTTCAGCGGCCAAACCGTAAGAGATAGATAAAGAGAATGTTTAAGTTAAGAATAGTCTGATAAGACTACAAACCGGATTTGAGTAACGTAGCACTTCCGGTTTTCGAGAAAACACGAATTTCAAACGAAACCACACAAAATCTCCGAAGTTCTCAATTAATTAAATACATTTTTTTTTAATCAGTTTTTGGTGAACATTTGGTTCACTGGTTTGCTAGTGATTACTTTCTAAGTTGTACCTTTCCAGTTTGAGGTAGTGCCCCAGCAAGTCCTGTGCGGTTCTCATGAGGCCGCTTTCAGCGATGATCTTCTCAATCGCTTCCTGATTTGTTTGTTTCGTTTTCTCATCCACGCCGTCCATCTACAATCACATCAATCTTATTAGAAAATTGCCGCAACAGTTACAAAGTAAAGCTCAACAAGTGATTGATGGTTGATGGTTATCTACGTGATCAAATCAGAGAAAGAAAATAAAAACAAATTCAATATTTTTTCCTACTATCAAGCCAGGTCGAGCCAGCTGCAGAAGCACGGGCTCCTAGCGGCCATTAAGAGAAAGATCAGAATCTTGTAAGTACATCATCATCATCATCATCAGCCTATTAATGTCCCCACTGCTGGGCCACAGGCCTTCCCTATGAATGGAATAGGGAGATTAGGCCATGACCCATCACGCGGGCCCAGCGTGGATTGGCGGGTGCTAACGACTGCAGATGCAGCCGGGACCAACGGCTTAACGTGCCTTCCGAAGCACGGAGGAACTCGATATATTAAATTTTTGGTCACCCATCCAATGACCGACCACTGCGAAAGTTGCTTTACTTCAACGATCGCAGCCGAATGCGCTAACCACTTGCGCCATCGAGCTCCTTTTGTAAGTACATCATCGCGCATTCCTCCTAAGGGAGTTGAAGTACAGCAGGATGGTGTTATGAGCTAGTGTCAGCTGCAGCAGCATGGACTCCTAGCGGCCATTAAGAGAAAGATCAGAATATTGTAAGTACATCATTGCGCATTCCTTCTTCAGAAGGCGAAGTACAGCAGGATTGTGTTATGAGCTTTGGCCAGCTGACGCAGCAAGGGCTTCTATCAACCATTAAGAGGTAAATCAAAATGTTGCAGTTACATACTTGCACATTCCTTCTTAAGAAGGCGAAGTACAGCAGGATTGTGTTATGAGCTTTGGCCAGCTGACGCAGCAAGGGCTTCTATCAACCATTAAGAGGTAAATCAAAATGTTGCAGTTACATACTTGCACATTCCTTCTTAAGAAGGCGAAGTACAGCAGGATGGTGTTATCAGCTCGTGTCACCTGCAGCAGCACGGACTCCTAGCGGCCATTAAGAGAAAGATCAGAATATTGTAAGTACATCATTGCGCATTCCTCCTGAGGAAGTTGAAGTACAGCAGGATGGTGTTATCAGCTCGTGTCACCTGCAGCAGCACGGGCTCCTAGCGGCCATTAAGAGAAAGATCAGAATCTTGCAGTTACATACTTGCACATTCCTTCTTAAGAAGGCGAAGTACAGCAGGATTGTGTTATGAGCTTTGGCCAGCTGACGCAGCAAGGGCTTCTATCAACCATTAAGAGGTAAATCAAAATCTTGCAGTTACATACTTGCACATTCCTCCTTAAGAAGGCGAAATACAACAGGATTGTGTTATGAGCTTTGGCCAGCTGACGCAGCAAGGGCTTCTATCAACCATTAAGAGGTAAATCAAAATGTTGCAGTTACATACTTGCACATTCCTTCTTAAGAAGGCGAAGTACAGCAGGATTGTGTTATGAGCTTTGGCCAGCTGACGCAGCAAGGGCTTCTATCAACCATTAAGAGGTAAATCAAAATCTTGCAGTTACATACTTGCACATTCCTCCTTAAGAAGGCGAAATACAACAGGATTGTGTTATGAGCTTTGGCCAGCTGACGCAGCAAGGGCTTCTATCAACCATTAAGAGGTAAATCAAAATGTTGCAGTTACATACTTGCACATTCCTTCTTAAGAAGGCGAAGTACAGCAGGATTGTGTTATGAGCTTTGGCCAGCTGACGCAGCAAGGGCTTCTATCAACCATTAAGAGGTAATTATGTTTTTATTTATTTTTTAAGCATTTAACTGCTAGATATTTAAATCTAAAGTCTATCTAACATTCCAGCAGTTAAATGCTTAAAAAATAAATAAAAACATAACTATAATTGCTGTTTCTTCTTTCAAATGTTTAATACTTGAAAAAGTATTCATTTGACATTGCGGGTTACCTATAATGCGAAGAGATGGCGCTGCCTTGCAGCTTAAGGCTAGGAAGATTTCGACGCGGCGAATAGGGCCGTGGTAGCATAATGGTCAGTGCATTCGCCCGGATTGCGAAGGATGCGGGTTCGAGTCCCGTCCGCTGCCTGATCCGCGTGGATTTTTTTCTAGTAAACTTTTCTTTAGATTAAGAGGTAAATCAAAATGTTGCAGTTACATACTTGCACATTCCTCCTTAAGAAGGCGAAGTACAGCAGGATTGTGTTATGAGCTTTGGCCAGCTGACGCAGCAAGGGCTTCTATCAACCATTAAGAGGTAAATCAAAATGTTGCAGTTACATACTTACTTGCACATTCCTCCTAGTGGCCATTACGAGAAAGATCAGAATCTTGTAGTTACATACTTGCACATTCCTCCTTAAGAAGGCGAAGTACAGCAGGATGGTGTTATCAGCTCGTGTCACCTGCAGCAGCACGGGCTCCTAGTGGCCATTACGAGAAAGATCAGAATCTTGTAGTTACATACTTGCACATTCCTCCTTAAGAAGGCGAAGTACAGCAGGATTGTGTTATGAGCTTTAGCCAGCTCTACTAACACAGGTTCAGCAGCGAGGGCTGATGCGGGGGCTCGTTTAGGGTTCCCGGGATCCAGCGGCCGAGCTCTTTCCAGGTCCCTTAACACTCGAGCGCAGCCTGCTGACACCTGTAGTGAAAATAAGGGAACATAGAGTGGTCCGAGTATTGTGTGCTGTTTACAATTGTTAGATTTATGCCTAAACAGTGGCACACGGCATTCCTAAACTTTTTTTCATTTTTCATCATCATCATCATCATCAGCCTATTAATGTCCCCACTGCTGGGGCACAGGCCTTCCCTATGGATGGAATAGGGAGATTGGGCCGTGACCCACCACGCTGGCCCAGTGCGGATTGGTGGGTGCTAACGACTGCAGATGCAGCCGGGACCAACGGCTTAACGTGCCTTCCGAAGCACGGAGGAACTCGAGATAGTAAATTTTTGGTCACCCATCCAATGACCGACCACTGCGAAAGTTGCTTAACTTCAACGATCGCAGCTGATCGCGCTAACCACTTGCGCCATCGAGCTCCTCATTTTTAAATCTGTTTTTTATATTTTTTATTTTATAATCATAATTGTTTTATCATTTACATTTGTAATGGAAAGTGACTTCATGGGTTATCTCATATTGAACTCATTTTTCAAATTAACGACTCTGTATATAATACAGGGAGAAAAAAACAGCCCTTGCTGAGTTTCTTGCCGGTTCTTCTCAGTGCAAGGTCTCCCGCCGTAGATTTGCGAACCGATGGCGTAGCTTTTCGACATTCACAAGTGCTTGTAACAGCCTAGACTGAATAAACGATATTGAATTTTGAATTTTGAATGTCCACCTGCCGTAAGGATGTGGACACTAAAGACAGTGGCGGGGCTAGACCACATGTGGACGTCGGCGACATCAAGTTCGAGAGGCCTATTTTACTTCGCAGTAAAAAACCGTTAAATTAAGTGAGCCAAATTATAAAATAACGTTTGAGTAAACGAGTTTTTTATTGTTGATAATCAAATGATGACAAAAAATAATTACAAACATAGAAATTTAATTACAAAAATAGTGTTGCCAGACAGACGATTCTGAATACCCGTAAAGTACTACTCGCTTCCATCACGCACGTGTTCTAAAACAATAAAAGTCATTATCATCTGCTTAGCTTTTTCCCCGAATTGTTCGGGGTCGGCTACCTAAGCCGGGCCAGGAGAAACGAAAATAAATAGGTAACTAGTAAAAATTTTTTGCGAGGCCGTGGCCGAAAGATATAAGACTAGAGATCGAGCGTCGAGCATTGGGCATGCTAAACGGACGCACAATAGCTCGACGCGGTCACACAAACTTGATATAATACTCAAGAAGTAATTAAATTTAAGAGCTTTATAACTAATTAAATTTAAAATACCACGAACCTACTCACGTTCTAAACCTATATTTTATATTTCACCTTCTTATACCAATTATGCTGGAAACACGTTCATGCGGCGGGCTTGTAGATACTACAATGGTTTTTTGGGAGATGTTGATGTGTTTTTCCTATCTTTGAATATGTATCGGTAAAATCCCTTTGGATCGCATCCAGCGCCGAGCGGCTCGAATCGTCGACGACCAGGACCTTTCCGATCAGCTTGCTCCTTTGGCTTTGCGTAGGGATGTAGCTTCGCTCTGCATCTTCTATCGCATTTATCACGGGGAGTGTTCTGAGGAATTGTTCGGACCAATTCCAGCTGCTGCATTTCGCCATCGTACATCGCGACAAAAATTTCATCCCCATCATCCTGATGCGTGGCTATCCACAACCGTGCGTTTTTGTCGAAATTTTTTACCACGTACGACAAAACTGTGGAATATGTTGTCGCCAGCAGTGTTTCCGAACCAATACGACCCAAGAACCTTCAAAAAAAGAGCGTATTTCTTCCTTAAAGGCCGGCATCGCATTTGTGATACTCCTGGTGTTGCAAGTGTCCATGGGCGACGGTGATCACTTACCATCAGGTGAGCCGTCTGCTCGTATGCCCCTATAACATAAAAAAAAATGTATAAAAAATTGGTGGGCGAATATGTAACGCGATGAGCGAGGGGTCGGAGTATTGGTCTGTCGAGTCAGAGACCAGCACCTGTGTTGGTGATTGATACTGCAGATTGGAGGTTTGTCCCTTCGTTTATTGCATTATATCATTTGGCTCAAAAGTTGTACTGATTTTTTTTTCTAAAATTATGGTGTTATTCCCTTAGATTAAAACAAAAAGGGTAGATACGGCACTAGCCTCACAAAAGTGATCCGTACAAATTGTGGTCCACGACCCTAATCGCTTTAGTCACAACTTGACATGCAAACGACGTACATGTGAACGCCAAAAAGAGATACTGATAATGTTTTGTGTTTATATGATAAAACAATGCCTAAGTATGTTTTTAAAAAGTGCTCAAATTGCTCAAGAACTAAAAATAAAACCCACGGCACCACTTTTCATTCGTAAGTACTATAAAATATTTTTTTACACAAAAATTGTTGTTTGCTTTGAATCTCATTCGGTAGTGACGTCGAATACTGGCCGCGTGATTGGTCGGTAGTGCAGTGACGCGGATCTCGCCGTCTCGTTCGCGCTGCCGTTGAAACTTACCGTGCCGTTTCGCTCGGGTCGGTAATGCAGTGACGCGGAGCTCGCCGTTCCGTTCGCGCTGCCGTGGGATCAGATCAGTTTTTGTTTGATGCAAGTATGAGCGTATCGTATCCACCCTTTTTGTTTTAATCTAAGGTTATTCCACTGCGCGCGCTCTATGTTACCTGCGGCTGTATGGCGGCGATGGCGCGGGGCAGCAGCGCGGTGAGGGCGAGCAGGCGGCGCGCGCGCAAGCCAGAGGCGCACGCTGCCTCCAGTACTCGCGTCATGGCGTCCGCAAACACTGGAGCCTCGCTCTTCGCGTCTGTCACCACGCACGCGCGCTTTACGGCCACCTCCAACTAAACACAACGTTGAATAAACCTGACGACTTTACGCATATAAACCAGTCCTTTTTTGAAGTGAAAACTTCTTTAGAACTGTACCCTTAGTACAAGTTTGAGCTCACGAAAACTATCATAGTTTTCGTAATTGTAAATTATGTTTCTATGTACATTATGGTGAAAAGTAACCAAAATACTTAAAATTTAAGAAGACGCAAATGATATAATGATAGAATTTAAACACTGTTTACTTGTATTGAAACGAAGACAATAAAATCTGTACCCTTAGTACGAGTGCGAGCTCACGAAAACTATCATAGTTTTCGTAATTGTAAAACTCGTACTAAGTACCCTGTTGTGATTCGAAACTCGATAAAACGAAAATTTTACAGTATTCGACGCAAGATATGCGTAATTTTGTAACTCCGAATGGTAACGGTCTTAGGGCCTCATTATACGGCGGGCGCGTAGCAAATGCGTTGCGAACACGACGCGGCTTCACAGCGAAGACGTCGCGTCGAAAAAAGCGTGACAGATACGCGACGTTTTCGTCGCGGATTTGTAGCGATCTAACGACGTACAATACACTCAGTGAAAAAATGGATTCCGACGAGGAAACACTGCTATTGACTTTGTTACTTCGAAGACGCCGGAGACGAAAACTAAAGCATCGACAAATTTGGGATGACGTTATCAATTAATCGAATGGAAGAGGGCGACTACTTTGTGTTATTTTGGAAATGAATATAAAATAATCTTAGAGCAACTTGTTTTACCATTTAAAATTTTGTGAAGAAAAATCACATCAGAAATCTTGCGACGCACCCTTAAGGTGTTCATTTTAAAGAAGTTTAATCGAGACTCGTAAAGTTGTCTGCGTGAGATACCGGAAGTAACAAATGCCAGATGCCTCGTAAAGGCACGCTGTATACTCTCAATTCTTTGAGAGACCACACTATATCCCGGGTTCCATGAGACAGAAGCAAACTCGAGGCGTCTACGAACTAGACTGTTAAAAAGTACAATTCTGGATCTAGCATGTTTAATTCCACGCAAGTTACGAGCCTGTTTACTGTCGATCACAGGTGGAAGCGTGTGCCTCGCAGCACGCTTAAGACAAACTTATTAAGCTATTATTAATTTTTCCAAACAATTTAAGTATAGAATATTTAATTTTGCCCATACTGTGTAATTGTTTACAGTACCCAGACATGAAGGACTTTTACGTGTTCACATTTTTGTAGTTTTTACTTCTATCGCATGTGAACAACACGTGCCCATTTTTTTCATTATCAACTACTATACACAACAACAAACAACTTATTCACCGACAGAAACACAACACTATCAATAGTGTTATTTAACTGTAATCTTCTGTAAGGCGGTTCTCTTCCCTTCTCAGTGAAGATAAGACAAAATTATCAGTAACTAAATTGATGTCAATTATCTTCATCATCAAATATACACGACTAGTGGCCCGCCCTCGCTTCGCTTCGGTGTAGAGCTGAAGTGTAGACTACAGTTTTTGTTCTCAGGCTTGTATTATACACAATAACATTCATCTATGATTATTCTTATACCTGCATGCAAAGTCTCAGCCCGATCGGTTTAAAATTGACAAAGTTTCATACAAATTTTATTCCCTATTTTATCCCCTTGGGGGTAGAATTGATCAAAATCCTTTCTTAGCGGATGCCTACGTCATAATATCTACCTGCATGCCAAATTTCAGCCCGATCCGTCCAGTGGTTTGGGCTGTACGTTGATAGATCACTATGTCAGTCGGTCACCTTTGAGTTTTATATATTAATCTATATAGATCGTTGATAGATCACTGTGTCAGTCAGTCACCTTTGAGTTTTATATATATAGATTAACAGCCACATTTAAATATAATCACTATCCATAAATGTCAAAAAACCTAAACCTACCTGTGCAGCAATATACTTGGCAAGTAGATCGACGCCTTCTTCAGCGCGGCCGATCTGAGGAAACAGCTTGAACAACCGCTCCACATTTTCTGCGTCATCCTTGCGCGCCGCTTCTTCAAACCTAACCAACAATTTCTTATCAGAATTTAAAATTAAAATAATTATTAGGATGCCTTGCAGCTCTTTGCACAGATTAAAGTTACTTGGTTTGTAAATATTATATCATACTAGCTGACCCAGTGAACTCCGAACCGCCTTAAAAATAGGGGCAGGTGGTAGAAGAGAAAATTTAGGGTTGTATGTATTTATTAATACCACATTATAAAAAAATAAATATTGTCCAAAATAACATTACTCCTAACCCATATGAGAACAATACGTTACAATACCCAATAGTTTGAATTTTGACGCAAAGGCGCAAAAGCAGGTTTCAGAACACTACGTTACAGGTGGACAACCATTATCACTTAAGGATATGAAAAATAAATAGTAGCCGATTCTCAGACCCACGGAATATGCATATAAAATTTCATAAAAATCGGTCAGGCCGTTTCGGAGGAGTATGGTAAATAACATTGTGGCACGAGAATTTTATATATAAGATAAATGCCTTACAAAAGCGAAAAAATACATCTCATTTACTGCTGTATAGGGCAATCCGCCCGCGACTTTAGTTTTTTAAAATCCCATAGGAGCCTAACATTTTTCCAGAATAAATAGTGTTGTTGTGCACCAAATTCTTAGAGCATATGAAGATGCCATACCATTCACTCGCTGAACAAATTTTTCTGTCATTTTTAGCGGGGGACAAGGTGCACATGCATACCACACTAACTAAAATATGCAATACCCGCACAAACACGAGCGTGACGTAATAAACGTCAAAATTCAAGTCACACAAACAAAACAAAGGGACACACGCTAGTGTCTGTGCGGAAAGAGAATGGGATTTAGATTGGAGGGCGCTGTAGTGCTTTTTTACCGTATAATTGTAAGGTTTTACCACTTTTAGACATGATAGTTAACGCCATCTATCCTTCGAAGGGAGAAGCTACAATCGGTCCATGATCATCGTCCATTCATACATTCATTTCGTACCCATTCGTTACTACATTCACTCATTTTGATTTATATAGATTCACTCTCCCTCTTGCATTCGAATTCAAAAAAGACAACGTACGCACATAATTTTAATAGATCTGTATTTTACTATGAATAATATTCTATAATCTGAATATCCGATTTTTATTGAGAAATCCACATATAGAAGACATTAAGCTATCGAACAATGATTAAATACAAAAAACCGCAAGAAATCACCACAACAAACAAATCCGTATCAATACAAAACTTTGACGTTTTACAGATTGCTGGGTTTGATTGACAAATAAAATTTTTAATGTTAGTTCCGTTTTTCGCCACGCCCATTCTCTTTCCGCACAGACTCTATCAATTTTTATGTAACTATGCAATGAGGGTGTTTAGAAAAATTTACGTATAGCGCTACTGTGACGTAAGGTCTTTTGTGTTAAGTTTTTGGCGCGAATTAACCGAACGAGCGTTTAAATTGATCCATAGACAATACAGGTGATTTGACGGATAAGTAGACCTTTCGTTTCGGTGTAGCCACCTGGCGCCAGTCATTCCGGAAAACCTTCATTGTTCGAGCGTACATAAAACACAAAAGGGATTGGACATTTTTCAAACTCAAACTCATTTATTCAGTCTAGGCTGTTACAAGCTCTTGTGAAAGTCAAACGCTACGCCATCGGTTCGTTAATCTACGGCGGGAGACCTTGTACTGAGACATTACATACATGAGACATTAAAAGAATGAACGGTATTTGAATGAACAGTTCTTGATGAACAAATACAGTGTTTGTTTATAATGAAATCAAAACAAATCATTTTTTTGAATTTTTATTTATAAATTTGTATAACGAGAGCTAGAACATGCTTAATCCAAAATGATAAAAAAAACAGAAGTACGTATTGAGCGCATACGTATGGAGATCGATAGCGCAGGTGGTTAGCGCGTTCGTCCTGCGATCGTGGAGGTTAAGCAACTTTCGCAATGTTCAGTAATGGGATGGGTCTCGAAAACTTACTATCTCGTGTTCCTCCGCGCTTAGGAAGGCACGTTAAGCCGTTGGTCTCGGCTGCATCTGCAGTCGTTACCACCCACCAATCCGCACTGGGCCCGCGTGATGGGTCTCTTTTCCATCTATAGGGAAGGCCAGTGCCTTAGTAGTGGCGACATTAATAAGTTAATGATAAAGATGTATTGAGCATATTATTTGGAAAAAATCACAAGGTACACCTCCTACTACAAGTGGAAGTGTCCCTCTAATAGAAAGAGAAAGAACATGAGGGTCTGCTAGCTTTCTCTCTCTAATCGCGCATGCGCATTGGCAACCGTAAGCATCTTACTATTTCGATTTGATGCTTGGACCAACTATTGGACAGACGACTGCGCATTCATCACAAGATAGCTAGTGGTCTCTCATCTTCTTTCTCTTTCTATTAGAGGGACACTTCCACTTGTAGTAGAGTCTATATCTGCCCTACTCTATTTTTATACCCCTATGAGACGGCCACTTTTAGAGCCGCCTTCCCCACTCTATCTTTTACCTCTATGGTTCTTCTCAGTACAAGGTCTCCCGCCGTAGATTTACGAACCGATGGCGTAACGTTCGGCTTCCACAAGAGCTTGCAACAGCCTAGACTGAATAAACATGCAGGCCGGCAGGGTGAGGATGGCTGGTGTGGCAGTTAGAACTGCTGTCTCAGCTATCTTCGCGTCTGGACTTCACCTTCACTTAACATCAGGTGGGGTGAAGTCATTTGTCGGACCTATCTATAAAAAAAATGGATGCGTGTAATTTATGTACGCGCGTGAGAAGTTATACTTCTTTAGCATCATTAAAAATATTTTTACAATAAAATAATAAAAGGACTGGAAAAGGATAGTTAACACAGTCAATTAAGTTCAGTTTTAATTTGAAAAATTAAATAAATATTCAAAATATTCAATTAAAATCACTACTGAATTTAAGTTATTAGTCCATATTATGTAATTAGCACTTGTAAGTAACTAAAACACGTTTTGTCTATATAGAAACTAGAAACATGTGGATAAATATTATAAATATGAAAACAGTGATCAGAGGCGACGAGCGTGCCAACATTGTTTTTGACAACGCGATCATCTTATGGAGCTCCGTGGATCGTTCAAAGTACCTTTCGAACAGATGTCTAATAATGGTGGATTATTAACAGCTTAGTGGTTATTAGTGACACTAACATTCATAACGCGCCCGCGGCCAACTTCATGGTGTTACTATTGTGTTACAGTGATGCGCGCGCATCTAAAAATTTCACTCTCATCATTTTTTCATAACGCGCCCGCGGCCAACTTCATGGTGTTACTATTGTGTTACAGTGATGCGCGCGCATCTAAAAATTTCACTCTCATCATTTTTTCATAACGCGCCTAAAGAAGTATAACTTCAAAAAAAAAACAGGTTGAGTTTGAGAATTACTTGCGCACTAGATGTTCCCGCAGCGTGTCAGCGGCGCGAGTCATGGCGTGGCGAGGGTCGGGCGCTCCGCGGGCGCGGGCCGCCGCCACTGACCCAGGGTCCATGCTGAGGAACCGCGCCACGTGGCCCGCGCCTATCAAACCGACAACTAAATCATACGGCAGTCATCATCATCATCATCATCAGCCTTATAATATCCCCACTGCTGGGGCACAGGCCTTCCCTATGGATGGAATAGGGAGTTTGGCCCATGACCCACCACGCGGGCCCAGTGCGTATTGGTGGGTGCTAACGACTGCAGATGCAGCCGGGACCAACGGCTTAACGTGCCTTCCGAAGCACGTAGGAACTCGAGATAGTCAAGTTTTGGTCACCCATGCAATGACCGACCACTACGAAAGTTGCTTAACTTCAACGATCGCAGCCGAACGCGCTAACTACTTGCGCCATCGAGCTCCTCCTCTCATACGGCATTGGAATCTTATAATCATAACTATTGGAAGAATCGTTTACAGGGGCGTATTTACATTAGGGCCAAGAGCGCCACGTCGGGCGTCCGCGACCATGATGAGGAACCGCGCCACGTGGCCCGCGCCTATACAACGGAAACAAAACCGACAACCTCCTCCTCCTTTGAGGAACTCCGTGGCCAAGTGGTTTGTACGCCGGGTTTCATGGCTGTCGCCGACTCGAGAGGTCCCGAGTTCGAATCCCGGTGGGGGCAGATGTTTGTGTGATGAATACGAGCATTTGTACTCCAGTCATGGATGTTTAATATTTATTTATATAAATATACTTATACATGTACAGTATATGTATGCTATCCGTTACCCTAGCATTCCTTATCACAAGCCTTATAGTGCTTACTTTGGGGCTAGGCTAATTGGTGTGAGTGTCGGAATATTTATTATTATTAACTTACTTACTCATACGCACTGGAAGCTCATAATTATAACTATTGGATGAATCGTCTACAGGGGCGTATTTTAACTAGGGCCAAGAAGGACATGGCCCAAGGCTGTGAGAGGCACTTCCGGTTTTCGAGAAATCACGAATTTCAAACGAAACCACACAAAATCTCCGAAGTTCTCAATTAATTAAATACATTTTTTTTAATCAGGTTTTGGTGAACATTTGGTTCACAGGTTTGCTAGTCTAACTTCTAATTTCGTCCGCATCAAATTAGTTTTTTGAGGGACCCATAGGAACCTTACATTTTTCCAGGATATGAACTTTCTGGTGTTATAAGTATATTTCAGGTTAGAAGTTGTTTGTGTGTTCATCCACATCAGCTTAACCGTTTTTGTGTGACGGAGTAACAAACTTTCATATATATAATATTACTATGAAGTAAGAAAGATTATTGTTTTAGTAGGCTACTCAAAAATAGTAAGTTATTGTTTTTTTAAACCTTCAGAATCATCAATGTCTTTACATTCATGAAAAAACTCTAATTCATTGTTTTAAAATACATGTTAAAATTAATTGCATTGATAATTATAAGAGTGAACAAAAGATCAAGTGGGCAAAAAAATACATATTTTGAGAAAATATTTTTTCTAAATTCATTGGAAATCTCTATCTCCATCTTATTATGGAGGTAGGCAGGGGACAGCTTAGACCATTTGAGAAATTTGTCAGTTTAATATAACTTGACCTGTTGCTGACTTTAAGTACTACTTAATTGTTACACAATTACTGTGCTCTTAAACTTTTTCATGATTATTGAATACCTAAACAAACACAGTAACGATTTTTCTGATCAAAAGAAAATATTACTAGAAAAAAACCCACGCAGACGGGAATCGAACCCGCACTCTTCCCTATCCGGGGGGTTTTTTTTTAATTTTTTTATTGATTGCATACTTTCACTGTGAGATTAAAAACAAACCAGTTTCATAATCATGTGCTTTTATAGCAGCCTCCACCCCTGCACTGCACAGTTGAAGGTCTATCAGATCATGTACTCGTCTCTGGCACTCTGCAACACGAGACTGTAACCAAAAAATAAGAATTTTTATACACTAGTTTCACCCTAAAACCATAATAATGTGGACAAGGTTAGTTAGTTTTATAAGAATCCTATAAGAAACTATCAATTTTCTCGGATAAAAGTATCCTATGTTGCAATCAAGGTAATGAACTGTGTGCCAAATATATTCAGGCATTTTTCCATGATTCAGTAACACTAACAAGCATCCAAACACAAAACCATTTATATTATTATTTTTATATAAAAAAATCATAGTTATTAAATAAGTAAATGAAATGTATAGCCCAATATTCCACAGGCAACCTCAAACTAAAGACAGAATTTGTATTTGTTTGTTTGTTTGAGAAAATGGCATAAATTTATTTTACACTAGCGTTCCATCACTGAGACGGGTATTGAGCAGTACATTTTTTGACAAATAGGCAAATGTACAATGCTTTTTTTTGTAATTATTAAGTGTGCCTAATTATGGTGTAGTGTGTTTTTATTGCTGAAGACCTGTAATTAGCTTTCTGTTATTATTTAAGTTTTTATTATTTTTATAAATAGCTGGTCTTCCAAAAAATAAATAAATAAATATTTTCATGCCTAGAAAGACAAACTTACGGCTCACCTTTCCATTATATGTAATTGAGTTGCAAGCTGAAATTTTTGTCACACAAAGTATTAACTATTAAAAACACGTACACGAAATCTTTTTTGGCGGAAACGAATAGAACTCGAGAAAAAAAATATTGAAAATAAATATTTTTGTAGGTTATGAGTCAATTTTGACAACATTTTTTTTTTCGCAATTTTCATGATCAGTGCTGCCATTTTTTTATGCAAAAATAACATGTTTCTCGTTGTTTATGGTAAATATAAGTTTATTATGTTGGTACTATTGTCAAAATGTGACAATTTACCGCCATTAATGAGATCTGTCAGTCAGTGTTTGTGTTTAAACTTGTTTTATTTCAACGGCTAAACTGTATATCTAAGGCCCAAGTGGTGATACTTCACACTAGGTTAGGTTCGGTTAGTGTTGTGACCTTAACGCGCGAGCCGAGTGAGCGAAGCGAGCGTGCCGCGGCAGCGGCCGGCGAAGCGCCAGAAAGAAAAATTTGTTAATAGACTTTTTCTACAGAAAAATCAAATATCACCTCTAGGCGCTGGAAGTACAGATTTACCTTTAAAACTCCTCTAATTTTTTATAATTATCATTTCTGTAAATAAACGCCGGGAGGGGGGGGGGGGTTACCCTTCCCTTTGAGGGGTCTTCCCTAATACCTATCCCCCTGAAATTCCACTACATATAACAGATTTTATGAATTTTTAGGTTAGGTAAAAAAAAAAAAAACTGCATTTCCGCCAAAAATCATTTATGGCGAGGGGGTCGGGGGGAGCCCCCCCCCCCCTACAAATTACCCCGAAATTCAATTACATATAATGGAATTAAGTACCAAACTTACCCTTGCAAGATCCAGTTGTCTCACTTTAGCACTGACGTCCTTTGCTAAGGCGGCCGTCTTGTCCACCATATCCGACGCGGAGTGAGCATCATTTCTTATTTCGCCGAGCCTGGAGTATGCCTGGCTTGCAGTTCGAAGCCGACCTTCAAGATCACAAGCTCGCAAGAGGGCACTAGAGAGAGCTTCATCTACCTCAGCCTAGAAATGAAAATTGCGATTACTTTTATTTATTATATTACTGTAAGATTATTCAACTCATTTAATGTTAACGAGTGTGGAGTTTGGATATCGAATGAATAATTCTAACCTCCTCTTTTTCAATTTCGCTAAGAGCCTTTGCCAATCCTTCTTCTGTAGAGACATCATACTCTTCTAGAAGAAGAGCCAGAGACATTATTTGCAATATTATTCAGTAATCAACAGCACAAAACCAAAACCTATTTTATATTTGCTCTAAATTGACTTTTGCCTGTCTACGTAGCGTAAATAAAAACAAGCAAGTGACAGTGACGGCACAGCTGACAGTCTCTGCGGTCCGAATTGCAAAAATACTACCAACGTTACAAACAGTGCAAATCATAGGTCCGAATTCAATATGGTGCTATGTACACTTTTTGCACGGAATCCATTCGCGAGCAGTGTTTGCAAAGCTTGATATATGTTATTGATGGCGTCACATTGATTTCGTTGGCACGAATACGTTCATATTGGACCAGTTGTATGCGCGCTATCGGTGCAAATTGTACGAAATCACAATTCGGACCGCAGCGAATGACATTGTGATAATGTCAAACTGACATTATTCTTTCGTTCTAAAATGATTTAGCCATCATGTTACATTCATTTAAGAACGTAAATTGTATATCACTTTCTTCCTGTTCTTGTTAAAATGACAGAGACAGAGAATACTCCGAGCGAGACTCTATCAATACGATTTGACATTTTGTCCTAGAAATACACTCAAAAATCAAAACTAAAAGTTCACAGATAACGTAAAATTTTGATTATAGATATAATTCTCCAAATAAAATGTTTAATTTTGAAGTTTAGTGGACTATGTAATGTGGCCAAAAGTTTTTAATTTAAATTATTGCTAAATATTATAAAAAGTAATTTGTATTATAATAATTTTTGATGTTTGCACATAAAACTACAATTATTAATATGTACTGAACGCATGTCATAAAAATTCACTAGTAGACAAAAGTATGTGATACGATACGACGATGTCTGTGAAACAGTAAACATAAAAACTTGTGATATTAGAAAATCGATGTGCCGTTAATTGTATAATTATTCCTCAGGGCGCTTGAAAAGCGTTTCTAGCTCCCTTGAGGACAGGTTTCATTGTACAAGGCAAGAGTAATCGTCAAAGGTAAGAGCGAGGACGGGCTATTGACATTTGCATAACTAATATTACCAAACAACTCTGGTTTGTGGAGTGCAGATGTATTGTGATGGTTCAGGTGTGTGTGACGGCTTGCAGATTGACTCCGTGTGGGGCTGGGCTTCGCCCCCGCTGCGTTTGCAGCTGGGTAACGCGCGTGGGCACAAAAGGTGAGTGAACTACAGAGGTTTATCATCTGATTCTTTCTTGTCGTGGCTGTCTGCTGAAATTCGTCTGCTGTGTTTTCTTGCGATCTTAATTCGCAGCTGTAACCACATAATTGCTGTTTTATTTTTATATTTACTTTTCTTATATTGTAGCAGAGTTTTAAGTAATTTTTTAATTTGTTAAATTTGATTGATTTTGTTTAAGTTTGGTTGGACTCGATTTAATTTAATTTAAACTAACCTACAACATTTTTGCACTGTAATATATGTATAGGTATTGTTAATTTCAAGATTCTTCCAACACCTGAACGGGGTCATGTACCACCTCACTACTAACTATGTAAGACCTTATAATAAATAATGTTCACAACCAATGTGAAATAAATAAATAAAAACAGTTCTTGTGGTACTTTCAAATTCTCCTGTTATTACTGAGTTATCAGATGTGTGTGCTCTTATAACAATTTTTATATGAAAAAGGTAGATAATGGTGTCGATTCTGGCATGATTCTGTAAACCTAAATTGAAATTTGACAACAGTGTATCATTGTCATTCGCTATACAGAATGAAAAGGAGAGACTATGTTTAATTTAGTTTTAAGTTTAGAGAATCACGTCAGAATCAACGCCAATATCAGCTTATTATTTGCTGCTGCTAATTTAGTAGTTCTCAATGTTATAAGTCAAGCCCTCCTTTACTGACTTACTTTCGACAAGTTGTTAGTAAACTTAATAACTTTCTGTAAGTAACAGAGAAATGAGAAAACATACAATTGCTTTTAATAGGACTCTTTAAAGTAGTAAAATATAACAAAAAAAAGATATTAAAATAATTTATTGCATTTTTTTTTTGTTCGAAGACGACATTTTGATCAACAATATGATGAGTGCCTACCAGCTTAGTCATCATTCAACTGATTAAGACTAACTATGATACTACAATATGATATATTTATTACAGTCCTGTATAACTTAAACGATTGCTGAGGTGTGTACCCATCAAAATGCAATCAGCTGTTGTTGTTTATTGTTATGTTATGTTGTTTATTGCTGTGTTTTTTTGGCCGTTTCTTTTCACCAGAAATAAAATTTCAAATCAATGTATTAATTTATGTAAGACAAGTAGGTACTTCACCTTTACAAGTCACAATTCACATTGTTTTATTATAGTATTGCCAACATAGTTGAGTGAACATTAACATAATTAATTAACATAGTTATTTAACATTTGTATTCATTCAAGCCCACATATCTTTTGAAAAGACTGTAATAAAGACTTTGTTAAAATTTGTATTCTGTGTTGATAAATTTAGTTAAATAAATTACACTGTAGGCTTTTAGGAAATATATATATGTGCATCAATTTGTATTTAAGTATTATTATTTTATTGTGCTGTTATTTTGATATTGTTCATTTTATTTAATTTTTAGCAACTTTGCTCTAGCACCATACTATTTGTCTCCAACAATCATAGTGGTTGACTGATAGAGAATGCCTGTGGCATTAAGTCCGCCGTTTGCTTATGTTTGGCAATAAAGTTTAAATAAATAAATGTTGACAAAGTAAGATAGGTGCAACATGTTAATCCTTCCTTGTAAGGCTTCAAAAAAAGTTTTGTAGTATGAAATATCATTGGAGGAGCTCGATGGTACAGGGGGTTAGTGCGTTCGGCTGCAATCGTTGAAGTTAAGCAACTTTTGCAATGGTCGGTCATTGGATGGGTGTCCAAAAATCTTCTATCTCGAGTTCCTTTGTGCTTCAGAAGGCACGTTAAGGTCCCGGCTGCATCTGCAATCGTTAGCACCCGTCAATCCGTACTGGGCCTGCATTGTGGATCATGGCCCAATCTCCCTATTCCATCCATAGGGAAGGCCTGTGCCTCAGCAGTGGGGACATTAATTAAGCTGATGATGACAATAACAACTGGCAGCAAAAGTGCAAGAGTTCTTCATACAAAAAAAAATTTCAAATTTGCTTGCCCCTCTCTGCATTATTCTCAATCTGCTGTACTATTTTTCTTAGAATCTTGGATCATTATAATATGTTTGGGGGTATCTTGAAATACACGTGTTAAAAATGTGAATACGTGATATGAAACACGACCCCATTATTGCTCGTAATGGAATCGCGTCTTAATGTGTACGTGCGACAATGCCAAGACGATGCCCTCTTACAGTCACATCTTTAATGACTGATGAATGATTGTAGGTATTATAGTATGGAGATTACCTACTTGTTATAATATAATAAAGACTTGGCTGTGCCCACAACTTCGTTCGCGTGGCCGTCGGAAAACGACAACGTGTCGTAATGAGATGACATGATTTTTCTGATCAAGTGTAGCGCTCTGTCGGTGAGTAGGCGCACTATCAGATTGTTTAAGCATGAAAGCAGACTGGGTTTTTCGTTTTCGTCCTCAGTATGGTGACGTCTCAGTCTATGTTGTCTATTGAAGTCTGAAGTCATTTTTCAATTTGACGACTCTGTAAATAATAAAACAGGGAGAAAAAAACAGCCCTTGCTGAGTTTCTTGCCGGTTCTTCTCAGTACAAGGTCTCCCGCCGTAGATTTACGAACCGATGTCGTAGCTTCTAGACATTCATGAGTGCTTGTAACAGCCTAAACTGAATAAATGATTTTGATTATGATTGGTACGGTTGTACGAAGTGTCGTATGTTCCAATGGTGTCATGACAATGTGTGTGGTATGTTTTTATAAATTTATTTATGAGCCAATGGCGCAGGATGGGCGAAGGCGGGTCGCCGGGCGGCGGCGCCCGGCTGTCGCACACGTCGGAGAAGCACCCGCGCGCCATCCTCGGCGAGCTGTCCGCGCTGCGCCGCCACCGCGAGCTGTGCGACGTAGTGCTTAACGTGGCCAACAGGAAACTGTTTGCACACAGGTGAGATAGTCCTACACGCGTCGGAGAAGCACCCGCGCGCCATCCTCGGCGAGCTGTCCGCGCTGCGCCGCCACCGCGAGCTGTGCGACGTAGTGCTTAACGTGGCCAACAGGAAACTGTTTGCACACAGGTGAGATAGTCCTACACGCGTCGGAGAAGCACCTTGCGCCATCCTCGGCGAGCTGTCCACGCTGCGCCGCCACCGCGAGCTGTGCGACGTAGTGCTTAACGTGGCCAACAGGAAACTGTTTGCACACAGGTGAGATAGTCCTACACGCGTCGGAGAAGCACCCGCGCGCCATCCTCGGCGAGCTGTCCGCGCTGCGCCGCCACCGCGAGCTGTGCGACGTAGTGCTTAACGTGGCCAACAGGAAACTGTTCGCACACAGGTGAGATAGTCCTACACGCGTCGGAGAAGCACCTTGCGCCATCCTCGGCGAGCTGTCCGCGCTGCGCTGCCACCTCGAGCTGTGCGACGTAGTGCTTAACGTGGCCAACAGGAAACTGTTCGCACACAGGTGAGATAGTCCTACACGCGTCGGAGAAGCACCCGCGCGCCATCCTCGGCGAGCTGTCCGCGCTGCGCCGCCACCGCGAGCTGTGCGACGTAGTGCTCAACGTGGCCAACAGGAAACTGTTCGCACACAGGTGAGATAAATCGTACAGGAGAATGAAGAAAAATAATTTACTCTAGAGGCCGACCGACGCCGACACCAGCTAGCCACGGTTGATTATATTGTGGCGGCGTCATCTACATGCCCCACATATAACCAACATGGAAAAATTAATCATTCGACATTTCAAGAGATGGTGCTCCCGGCGCTGCACTCAAATAGTATAGAAGCCTACATCGCGCAAGTGAAATTCGGCGGCCAACAGTTCATATATACAATGCCCGACTAACATCAGTCGGGCCGCGGCCCCCGGGCTACCACCA